ACAACCTGATTATTACTTTATTTTTGCAGTTTATTCAACAACTGTTAAGCGCGGTGTCAACGAACACAACTAAACAATTTATTTTGTTTTATACAAGTATACTTCAAGCAAGAAGGAAAAAAAATGATATGTTCCAAGAGCTCTATCAATCAAATGTACACTGCTGAATGAAGCTATACTATAATATAACAAAAAACTTTTTTTTACATTCAAAAAAAAACTACAACTAAGTTCAAAGTCTTTGTTGTTGTTAGTATTTGTCATAAATTGGCAATGTTATTAGACACTTTCAATAATAAATAGTTCAGCAACACACACAAACACACACACAAAAAAAAAAAAATTGCTAGCTGAGATCAAGAAATATTTCTACAAATATTACTTACACTCATCTAGGTACAACAATAAATTATTATACTGTTTTTTTCTGCTCTTTTTTTCAGGTATTTCAATCTATGTTCACAGATCTCCTTATTCTAGTATATATCTGTAGTGTGCAAGAATTGCATCTCATAGGGTAATAATTTAATGTTAATTCATACAGATGTAATAAATTTAACTAATAGCCTTTTTTTTCTCAAAATAATACTGTATTTAATTTTAAGTTTTATCATCATACAAGTTTTACACACCACTTTTTTTTTTCTGTTTGCAGCGTATCATCTTTTGTGGTTTATAAAACAATTACAGACTGAGAACAGAAAAAAAGAATAGAGAGGAAAAAAAAAAGCCTGGACAACTCTGAACATTTTTAAAGATTAATAAAATAAATAGACAAAATGAAATTGTTTGGAATGAGAAAATACCACAGAAGAAGAAGAAAAAAATTGTAAAAAAAAAAAACAAAAGATATCATAGATCAGATGTTTAAGATGTTTGCATATAATAACAGTAATAAATAATCAAAACTTAAGCTAACCACTTTTGTAGTTTAATCAAATACTTAATTAATCGCTTACAATTATTGTTAATTCGTTAGTCAGTTAAATTGTTGAAGCACCACTAATACCTGTAAACAGTGTAGAAAGTAGAATACTAATTTAGTAATTTATGCTATTTCTGATAGACAATGGTCTGTCAGCAAAAAGCGATCTGAATCTGCTCTTTGTTTTTAATGATAGCAGCGTATTGTTCGAACAGACGACGAACTGAATGTACACACATTGGGCCAATCATTACAAATGTGTTTCATCGCATTTCACAAACCTTTTGTGTTCAGAACGAAAAAATGCATTAATTAATCCTTCACTGACAAAAAATCCGCCAGACAGTAAAGAAAATACCTGAAATATTTGTGGAAAAATTTAGTGTGGTAAAGGAATAAAGCTAAAATTATCTATTTGTTATCAAGCAAATTTGTTGATATTTTCAAACAGCTGAATAACATCACTACAATTCTATCACTAATTAAATTTAAAAAAAAAACAGAAAATTACCGATAAAAAATGACAATTTGAAGCAATTGACCAAAAAAAATTTCCCAAAGATCAATAGTGTCAACTTTTATTAACAGGTCTTCTTTGTCACTACCAAGATAAAACTCAAAGTTTTACCGTCTTTTTTTTTTTTCGGTTAAAAAATTGCCAAGAAACACATGTTTCTTTCACTTCTTTGTTCTTCAGTTGTAAAGTATTCTGAGAATTTTTTCCTTTGATACATTATAGGCTTTAACTTTATTGAAAAACACTCAATTGTACAGATACGTCATTTCAAAGAAGAAGCTGAATAGACTATATGTGTGTTACAAAAAAGGTTAATTACAGCCTTAGAGCTTTGAAATTTGTAATAGTTTTATCCCATTGGTACTCATAAAAGTTTGTACAGCAAAAAAAAGGAATAAAACATATAAAAATTTTTCAAAGAAGAGAAGTTGTAAGTAAGTATTTCGACTAAATAAAAACGATAATCTGTTTTTTGATGTTGATAATTGAAAACAATTAAATTTTGCAGCTATTTCTCTAATTTAATATTCTAAAACACCAATCAAAAAAAAAAGAAAAAAAAATACGGATTAGGTTTCTGACGTTCAAAAAAAAAGTTCAAATAAAAAGAAAAAAGCAGAAGTTAGAAAAAAAACGATACAAACAACAACAAAAAAATAAAGAACAGAAAATTAGAAGCAAAAAGTAAAAAACCTAAAAAAAAAAGGTGAAAAAATTTACTCCAGCTAATGCCCAGCCATTAATTCCACACTGAGCATCGTTATCAATTACGTCGACACCTCGACGAAGAACTTCTGAACGATAGAAGTCTTCCATCCAGGGGCAGGAGCTGTAGTGTAGTTCAATACCAAAAACGAATAGTGAAAATGGTACAGATCCAAACGAAAAACACATACACTGAAAAAAAAAATCAAAAATATTTTTCCTTTTTTTTTTT